ACACCGGGGGTGACACCGGCACAACGGGGGGTGGCACCGGGACACCGGGGGTGACACCGGCACAACGGGGGGTGACACCGGGGGTGACACCGGGACACCGGGGGGGACACCGGCACAACGGGGGGGACACCCGGGGTGACACCGGGGGTGACACCGGGACACCGGGAGGGACACCGGGGGTGACACCGGCACGACGGGGGTGACACCGGGGATGACACCGGGACACCGGGAGGGACACCGGGGGTGACACCGGCACAACGGGGGGTGACACCGGGGGTGACACCGGGACACCGGGAGGGACACCGGGGGTGACACCGGCACAACGGGGGGTGACACCGGGGGTGACACCGGGGGGTGGCACCGGGACACCGGGGGGGACACCGGCACAACGGGGGGTGGCACCGGGACACCGGGGGTGACACCGGGGATGACACCGGGACACCGGGGATGACACCGGCACAACGGGGGTGACACCGGGGGGGGGGTGGCACCGCCCGCGCGCGTGGGAGGTGCCACGCGGGGGGAGGGGCGGGGCTGACTTCAGCACCGGGGACAGCACCGGGGGGGGAGGGGAGGGGGGAGGGGACGCGCGGGGGCGGCCACCGGGGCCCCTCCCCCGCCCCTCCCCCCCTCCGGTGCCCCTCCCCCCCTCCGGTGCCCCCTCCGCGCGTGCGCGGGAGCGGCCCCGGGCCCCGCCCCCTCCCCAAAAATCCCCCCAACCCCCCCCACCGCCCCCGGGCCCGGGCGGGGCCGTTACCGGAGCCCGGGACCCGGTGCCGGTTCCGAGCGCCCCCTCCCCGCCCCCCGGTTCCACTCCCGGTGCAGTCGCCGCTGCCCCGCAGCCGCTCCCGGTGCCCCGTATCCGCTGCTCGGTCCCCGGTGCCGGTAGCCGGTTCTCAGACCCCCGGTGCCGGGCTCCGGTCCCGCTGTTGTCGCCGGTGCCGGTGCCCGGCAGGCAGAACCCCGAGCCCCGGTGCCGGTGCCCGATTCCCGTAGCCGGTTCCCAGTTCGCCGTTCCCGGGGCCGCTCCCGGTGCCGCTCTGACATCAGCACCGGGCGGGGCGGGGCGGCTCCAACCGGGCAGGAAAAGCATCTCCCGGTGCCGGTACCCGGTTCCCGTAGCCGGTTCCCAGTTCGCCGTTCCCGGTGCCGCTCCCCAGGCCCCGGTGCCGCTCCCGGTGCCGCTCCCGGTGCCGCTCTGACATCAGCACCGGGCGGGGCGGGGCGGGGCGGCTCCAACCGGGGAACCAAAGCATCTCCCGGTGCCGATCCCGGTGCCGGTACCCGGTTCCCGGTTCCGCCGCCCCAGCGGGGTCGGGGGGGGGGCTCGACCACCACCGGGACTCTCGGGAACCGGCGGCCCCCGCGTCCGCCATGAACCGAACCCAGCCTTGAGCTCCCCCCGCCCGGTACCGGGACTCCACCGGGGCGGTCCCGGCGGGGGGCGGACGCTCGCAGCATCCACCGGGAAACGGCCACCGGGAAACGGCCACCGGGACTCCCCGGGAGCGCCGCCCCCCGGGCAGAGCTGCCCCCGCCCCGCCGCGCCCCGGAGCCGAGCGGAGCCCCGGGGCCGCCTCGTCCTTTGTGTGCGCCGGGGCACCGGGCACCGGCGGCGGCGGCAGCGGCAGCCGAGGCCGGCCGGGGCTAACGGGCAGCGGGAGCGGCCCCGGGGCCCGGGCAGCTCCCGGTGGCCCCATGAAGGAACCGGACGCCATCAAACTCTTCGTGGGGCAGATCCCGCGGCACCTGGACGAGAAGGATCTGAAACCGATTTTCGAGCAGTTCGGGAAAATCTACGAGCTCACCGTCATCAAGGACAAGTACACCGGCATGCACAAAGGTACCGGCACCGGGAACGGGAACCGGGAACGGGAACCGGGAACGGGAACGGGAATGGGAACGGGAACGGCCAGCGGGTGGGTGCGGGGCACCGGCGGCGGCGGGGGTGGGGGCAGCCCCGGGGTGAGGAAACCGGCACCGGGAATGGCCCCGGTACCGGGATTAGCCCCGGGATTCGGCCCTCGGTACCGGGATCAGCCCCGGGATGAGGCCCTCGGTACCGGGAATGGCCCCGGGATTCGGCCCTCCGTATTGGGAATGGCTCCCGGTACCGGGATCGGCCCCGGGATGAGGAAACCGGGACCGGGAATGGCCCCGGGATGTGGCCCTCGGTACCGGGAACGGCCCCGAATACCGGGATTAGCCTCAGGATGTGGCCTCCGGTACTGGGATCAACCTCGGGATGTGGCCCTCGGTACCGGGATCAGCCTCGGGATGTGGCCTCCGGTACCGGGAACGGCCCCGAATACCGGGATTAGCCCCGGGATGTGGCCCCCGGAACTGGGAACGGCTCCCGGGACCGGGAACGGCCCCGGGATGAGGCTGCCGGCACCGGGAACGGCTCCCGGTAGCGGGATTAGCCCCGGGATGTGGCCCTCGGTAGCGGGATCAACCCCAGATCCCGGGATTAGCCCCGGGATGAGGCCACCGGGACCGGGATCAGCCCCGGGATTCGGCCCTCGGTACCGGGATCAGCCCCAAATACCGGGATCAGCCCCGGGATGTGGCCCCCGGTACTGGGAACGGCTCCCGGTACCGGGATCAGCCCCGGATGTTCCCCCCACCCCCCCCCGTGCTGAGAGCAGCTGCCGGTACCGGGAACGGCCCCGGGATCCGGCCCCCGGTACCGGGAACGGCCCCGGGATGAGAAACAGCCCCGGGATCCGGCCCCCGGTTCTGGGAATGGCCCCACACACCGGGAACGGCTCCCGGGAGCGGGAAGAGCCCCGGGAGAAGCTCCCGGTACCGGGAGCGGCCTCGTGATACGGCCCCGGTACCGGGAATCGCCCCCGGTACCGGGATCAGCCCCGGGATGTGGCCCCCGGTACCGGGAACGGCCAAAACCACCGGGAACGGCCCCAGGAACAGCCCCGGTACCGGGCACAGCCCCGTGCCACGGCCTCCAGCACCAGGAACAGCTCCCGGTACCGGGAACAGCTCCCAGACCGGGAACGGCCCCGGTGACAGCCCCGGTACCGGGAACAGCCCCGGGATGGGGTACCCGGGACCGGGAACGGCCACCGGCACCGGGGGCAGCTCCCGGTACCGGGAACGGCCCCACAAACGGTACCGGGTGCAACCGAGAGCACCGGGAACAGCCCCGGGTACAGCCGAGGGCCCCGGTACCGGGAACAGCTCCCGGTAAGCGGAACAGCCCCGGCACTGGGAACCGGATCCAAGCCCGGTACCGGGAACAGCCCCGGGAACAACCCAGGGTACCGGGAATGGTCCCGGGAACAGCCGAGGGCACCGGCAGCGGCTGTTGTTGTTGGGGGTTGTTTCTCGGGTGTTGTTTTCTGGCCGTTGTTGTTCGGGTGCTGTTTGGGGGTTGGTTTTGGGGTGTTGTTGTTGGGCTGTTGTTTTTTTGGGCTGTTGTTTTTTGGGGAGCTGTTTGGGTTTTGTTTGGTTGTTTTTGGGCTGTTGTTTTTGGGCTGTTGTTTTTGGGGGGGCTGTTTGGGTGTTGTTTGGTTGTTTTTGGGCTGTTGTTTTTGGGCTGTTGTTTTTGGGGGGCTGTTGGGGATTGTTTTGGGGCTGTTGTTTTGGGGCTGTTGTTTTTTTGGGCTGTTGTTTTTGGGGGGCTGTTTGGGTGTTGTTTGGTTGGTTTTGGGCTGTTGTTTTCGGGGGGCTGTTTGGGTGTTGTTTTTGGGCTGTTGTTTTTTTGGGCTGTTGTTTTTGGGAGGCTGTTTGGGTGTTGTTTGGTTGTTTTTGGGCTGTTGTTCGGGTGCTGTTTGGGTGTTGGGGTGTCACCGAATCGGGTGTCATTTTGGGGTATCCTGGTGTCACTTGGGGTGTCCGGGTGTAACTTGGGGTGTCCGGGTGTAGTTTTGGGTGTCCGGGAGCAGTTTTGGGGTGTCCGGGAGCAGTTTTGGGGTGTCCGGGTGTAGTTTCGGGGTGTCTGTGGGTGTTTTTTGGGGTCTGGGGGGTTATTCGGGGTCTGGGGGTGTTTTCGGGGGTCCCCGTTACTTTTGGGGCGCTCTGACCTCTCCCACCCCTCATCCTCCCCGCGGGGGGGGGTGAGGAATTTTGGGGGTCCCCCCCGACCCCCCCCCTGTTCTCGCCCCTCCCCAGGATGCGCCTTCCTCACCTACTGCGCGCGCGAGTCGGCGCTGAAGGCCCAGAGCGCCCTGCACGAGCAGAAAACGCTGCCGGGGGTGAGCGGGGCACCCCCAAACCGCCCCGGGCACCCCCAAACCGCCCCGGGCACCCCAAAACCACCCCCGAACCCCCAAAGTCACCCCGGGCACCCCCAAACCGCCCCGGGCACCCCGAAATCACCCCCGAACCCCCAAAATCACCCCCGAACCCCCAAAATCACCCCGGGCACCCCAAAGTCACCCCGGGCACCCCGAAACCGCCCCGGGCACCCCGAAACCACCCTGAGCACCCCAAAATCACCCCGGGCACCCCGAAATCACCCCCGGGCACCCCGAAATCGCCCCGGGCACCCCAAAATCACCCCCGAACCCCCAAAATCACCCCGGGCACCCCGAAACCACCCCGGGCACCCCGAAATCACCCCGGGCACCCC